AAGGACATCCTCATCACGTGCATCCATCAATTCTACAATTTCTGTCACTATAAGTCTTTCTGCAATGCAGTAAGTATCCCTCAGAGCAGCCTCCGCAGCTTGCTTCAAGTGTCCAACTGTTGCTTGCAGTGGAACCATAACAATCTCGCCACAGGGTAGCCCTTTCAACCTTGGATCGTTTTCTCTTCCTACAGATGAGAGAGGAAGACATGTTGAGCGAGAGAGAGAGAGAGAGAGAGAGAGAGAGAGAGTTTAACAGAAGAAATGAGTGTGAGCGAGAGTGACTTTAACAGACAGAAGAAATGAGAGAGAGAGAGAGTTTAACAAACAAAAGAAATGAGAGAGAAAGATTACTGATTAGTGGATATTTAGGAAGTGGGGTCGCCGGTGGTGAAGAGAAGAAGAGACTCACATGAGAAGAGAACATTATTGTGTCTGTCTTCAGTAATGGCAGTCCTCCAAGAAGTTGTAAGCTTTATTATTGCCTCCCTTGTAACTTGTAAGGGTTTCGTCCTCCAAAACACAAAAATTTGAGGTGAGATCTTTCCATCTATTCTAGAAGGAAGATCAAGTCGAATTGGAATGCTACAGTCTACAGAGGAAGAAGGAACTTGTAACTTGTAAGGGAGTGAAATAGTAGCGCTCCAGTCCTGCTTATTCTAATTTTAGAGAAAGAGAGAGTTAAAAAATGCGCCATGAGCACCCGGATCTTTGTTTTCTACTCTCTCTTGATCACCAGAGAGAGAGTTAATAAGATCAATGGTGTCATATGTTTACAAATAAGAGTTGTTGATCTTTTTTGATCTAACGGCTCTCAGATGAGGTACCGGTGTCAAATGATCCACCTCATCTGAGAGTCGTTAGATTAAAAAAGATCAATAGTGTCACATGCTTGCAAATCAGAGTCGTTGATCTTTTTTGATCTAACGGTTCTTAGATAAGGTGTCAAAATTAAAATTTGACACCGGTGTCAAAGGATCCTACCTCATACAAAAATATATAGGCAAAATGATTTTGGCAGCCGTTGCACCTATAGCAAGCCAGGATCCGCGTCCGGATCCTTTTTTTTTTGTTAAAGCTGTGGGGCCCACTTTTCTGTTCATCTGCAGATAACACTTTCTACGGAAGCGGCAGAAATGTTAAGCCCATATATATATATATATATATATATATATATATATATATATATATATATATGCTGAAAAAAAAAATACAAAAAAAACATTATCCATTTATTTACTACTGACAAGTCTATGCACGACATTCTACTCACAAGTCTACTAACAAATCCTCATCATCTATACAATATACATGTTCTAATAGATTACAAAAATTTATTTATACAAATAAATATATTATTATACTCATTCAATTTTTTATTTTTTGATACATTTATCATTTTTTCTAAATAATATTTATGTTTATATGAAATTTCCTTAATAATATAGAGTTTTGTAATTATAAACCCTTCATATTAATTTTAATTAGAATTATAAATTTAGAGCTTATATAAATTATTTTACCAAAAAGTTTATTTATAGCTTAAGCTTTCGATAACTTTTAAGCTAAAAAATATGGGGAAAACTAATACTATGTAACATGATATAAATTTTTTTACCTACTCACACATTGGTTTCCGCACCAGCATTTTTTTTTTGTTTTTATTATATGTATGAGACCCACATGATTTTTGTTTGAGTAGGAAAAATACTTTAGATTATGTTACATGATGGTAGGTTTACCCAAAAAATATATATAACTGCCAAATAACTTTATCTTTATTTTTTAAGCTCTTATTTTTTTGCATTAACTTAAAGTTTAAGGGTTTTATAAGTTATATTGTAGGAAAAATGATCGTGTTATGTTATAGAGATTCATTTTGCGTGACGTAATTTTTTTTTTTTTCAAAACATGCTGGTCCCACAAAATGTTATGTGTGCGAAATTTTTTTGTGATCACGTTAAATGATGAATGCAAATCCCAAAGTTTATACTAGTTTATAAGTTAAAAAGGAAATTAAACCGAACAAACAACGATTTTGTGTTTAAGCCATATACTTGACTATTGTTCGATTTTGGCATATAACTGATTTTCTTTTCTTTTCTAGAGAGTTATGTCACGTACCTTCATTTTAACTTTTATTTTCTTCGTGTCGATATTTTTGTCATAGCTATTAAATATTTATTAATTATTATTGATCATGTTATTATAATATTTTAGTATAAATTTATTTTCTGTCAAAAATGTTTAATCAAATGAAAAATAAATAAAATTTTAAAAGGTCCACAGATTAACCTTAACTCATAGAATTTCGTGGTAGGTTTTTGACTCCTCACCTTGCAAGAAATGGAGCAGTTGCGATATAAATCGGGTTGAGCCAACTTTCTACTGCAGATGTTGTATGTTCCCTCATTATTTAATGTTGAACCGTAGTGCGGGAGAGAATTCAGAGAAATAACCAATCGCTTGTTGCATTTGTAGGGCTGCAACCAAAGAGGAATCAAAATCCAGACACACGGTAAAGAATTTGGTTGAGAAGAATCAATTTTCCGAACCTAATATTTAAATTTTTTAGGCATACAAAACTACAGTAAGGTTAGTTGAGGTGTATTCATACACACCACTTAGAGAGATAGAGTTAATACTAGGTTGTCTAATTAACAATAAAGAATGCAAAAATATTTGTACTAGTTTTTCCATCAGAATATTTATATGTGATTTGATTTGAACACTTATTTTGCGAATGTCACCAACTGATGCGGTTTTCTTTTAACTGATATTCCATGGAAGAAAATCGGGCCAAGACAAATAATGGAGTAGCCCTGCTTGGGAATGATCACCACATGAGAATATTAGCAAGAAAATATAACACACAACTATAAAAACATTTATTGATTTTACAACTCATTATTATATGATGGACAACTAGCTCTGGTATATAGAAGCAAGAAGTGGAGGAAAAGAGATAAAGCAGGCCAAAACCAACATGGACAACCCAAGACAAATGAAGAGACTAATCAACAGCCCAATCCTAATGAAGAGCAGGTAGCGACTGAAAGGAAGGATTCAACAGAGAAGGAAAAGAAAGAGTTTGTTACAAGAATGCTGGCTCTGAATGGAGAGGAAAATGTGGGTGGTGTGGAGAATGGAGAGTTAGTTATAAGGGGAGAAGAAGAAAACTTGGGGAATAGCTGAGAATATTGCATTGAGGTGGTAAAGGGAGCTCAATGGGGTGGGAGAATTGCCTTGTTGAGGGAGTGAATATTTTCTACTGTTACTGTTTGTATTTATTTATATATATCTGACTTAACCGGTCCGATCAGTGACCTAATATTCCCGCCAGAGTGATGCCCGAGTCGGGTTTAATAACACTGTTTGGGACTAGGGTGTTAACGGGCCGAGCCGAGCCGAGCTTTGGTCTTAACGGGTCGAGCCTGTGTTCAAATATGTCAGACTGGCCTTAGCCTGTTACCTGTTACGAATATAATATGGGCCTGTGACCTGACTTGTTTATAAAAACTACAAATCTGATTTAGCCTGTTTAAAAAAATTAAAACAACAAAAATTTATTCAAACATAATATACAATCAACAACACTAGTAATTTCATAAATATTCATTAATTCAATGTATATCCAAACAGCATAATATAGAACAAAATCATTTAAAAATATTTAACCAATAAAATGGGGTGAAATGGATTGAGGAGAAAGAGAGGGCTATTACAAATAGTATAAAAAATATAAAATAAAAATAATATACAAGGTCAGTCTGGGAGGCTCTAAGGCTGAGCTTTTGAATTGGAGCTGAGGCCGTTTTATTAAACGAGTTTTTATACAAGTTCAAACCTGATACCAACAACCAGTTTTATACATGTAAGCTCAAGTCTTCACGAGCCGAGCCAAAGGCCCCTGAAAGGCTCCTGGTTCGTTTAGCACCCATATTTGGGACCCTGTTTGTGCTCACATCCCAAGATGCAACTAAATAAATGTGTTTGGTGATATTTTTTATTTTTTTAATTTAGAGAATAAAATTAATTGTAAATAATGTGTGATAAAACTAATTTATTTCTCTGTTTCATAGAATGAAACATTCATTAGTTCAGGAACAAAAAATTTCAAATATATATATATATATATATATATATATTTATATATATTTGGTAGACTAAAAATATATTATGCATATTCTGGACACTAAAAGGTGAGTTATATATATATATTTTTTATAGCCAACAAAACCAGAGCCCAAAAAACAAAAACAAACAAAATAAAGACAGAACACCAAAACACAAACAAAAGCTACTGGATCGGTGGATTACGATTATCAATTTATTGAGTTTAATATAAATATTTAAGATATCTTTTTTTTTTTTGAAAATTTAATTGATGTTATAAGTTTAGCTTTATTTTTTTTGTTAAATTATTGAATATTAAATATAATATACATTACATAAATTAAAAATATTATTTAATATCAAAACATGTCCTAATATATCAAAATCTAATACATTTTAAAATTAATATATCAGAATGTCGTAAAAATTCCCACATTCCATTTAACTAATAATGTAGACCGCATTCAAAACACCTACCAGTGAAACAATCGTTGGAAAGGGCAAAGTGAAAAGATATAACCTTTCATAATCTATTGATATTGAATAGATCCTAGTATAAAGCATAATGAGTGCATAAAAGGTTTATGTTTTTTTCACCTTAAACGAAAAGTTTGGTTTAAAATCATGCTTTGCTATCTTCCAACGTGATAAAGATTACACGTTTTTAACTTTCAACAAGCAGGCAGCAGAGTACCTCGGATAATCGCTTTGTGCAATTGTAATTGGTAGGTTTCAGGGAGAATAAATTATTGGAATTGGCTTTTTAGTTGACAAAGTCAATAACGAGACTATATTTTAAACAATTTGAATATAACCAATGATGTTAACCGCAAACCTAACAAATACATCACTCAAATCTATCATTCCATCTCCTTGTCAGGTCCAATATACAAGGTGCAACATACAGAGATAACAATAAGTAAAATCCCAATGAGGTGATCAAAAGATACAGCAGCTACTCTTGTCAAAGCAAGGGTCCAAAATTGGGTTAGTGCTGTCTGAAACACAGAAAGGTAGGTATATATGTATCAGTCCCCAGGGCTATGTTGTTTGTGTGAAAACTTGTTACACTGTTTGATTTCTATGACAAACATCAGGTAGGGGTAGGTGTGGTCCTTTGAGTTTGGTTTTTGATGTTCCCATTTGCAGGAGAGCTATTGATTCCTCTTTATTCAAGGAGTGGTTACATAACCTCCAAAGTGAGACTGGGGTTATTCTAGCTGATGGTACAATGGCTCTGAGACAAGTTCAAATTCAGGTAATCATGTTATTGAGGTTTTCACACAATAACAATTGATGAAGGATACTTTGCCGATGAAAGAGGTTTTCTCTGCATTCCATAACTCAAATTCTAGAAAACATGGCAAGAAATTTATTTGATGTTGTCAACATAGATATTTTCTTTCACTGTTTTCTTCTGAGGACTTAACTAACACTGTAATCCGTAGAAGACAGTCAATTTGAAACTATAGTTGTTTTATAGCATTTTTAGACTATCAAGAAGCATTTTAAACTATAGTTCAGGTATGTTGTAAGTTTAATACATACATACATACATACTAATTCAGGTAATTCAAACGAATTACAAGTGATAAATGATAACACGCAGTACAATAGATGAGAACAGCAACCTCACCATTCTTATTTTTGTTGCTTCATTAAATTCGCCATTTTTTATGAGTGAATGGTTACTTACACAAAATTATCCTCTTTATGCCTTAGACATTGACTGCTTGTGCGGAATTCTACAGCAGAGAACTTGCAAGCATCTAGTCACTCTTGTCATGATATCAAGCATTCCCTATTAAAATCACAAACTCCCCCATTCTTTACAAACCATTGTTAAGATGGGACAATGTTATCAAGTGGAGGCACCATAATAATTGATACCTCAAACTTCTTCATCCACTAATACTATGGTATGTAAACTGCAATTGATTGCTTATTAAAATTAAGTTGCACCAGGTTGTAGTTTTATAGCCCGCTTTCTCCTACTGCTCTGTATGCTTGCTTGCAAATTAAAACATTACTTGTCATATTCATTGTTCACAACCACGAGCAAAGCACCATTGATGTCTTTGAATGCAATACATTACATTCATCCAGTGAGAGCATTAAAATTGATATTCACTAAAATCTTGATAAGATCAACACATGAAATGCCTTTAAACCAAAAATTCGTAACAAATACGTGAAAATATTTTGTGCATTTGGAAACTTGATGCCTGTACTTCAATGATTTTCTTTTTTAACATTGTATATAATAAGAATTCTATCACTTTGTTCTGTTAAAGTCTATCTCCTTAAAAAAAAAAAAAAAACCTGGAATTTGATGTGAGTTGTCTTCTCTAACTATTGAACAAATCACACATCATGTGAATATCAAAGAAGTTTACTGGTTGAAGAATAATCATCCCCACTTGGAAGAGATGTGGAGGAGTCAATCCATGGTCCATCTACTGACTTGTGTCTATGCTCTATACATTCTTGTGAGAATGTAGACAAAACAAGAGTTTGGCTATCTTGTGATAACGACTCAAAGGCTTTGAATCTTGCATCTTGGTGATTCTCACCGCGCTTGATTATTGGTGCTTGGATTGGAGTTTTTCCTTCAAGCATGCTCACTACAGATGACATAGATGGTCTAAGAGTCGGAGACGGATTGGTGCACAAGAGTGCCAAGCTCATCATTCTCATGGCTTCCTCTGGTGAGTACCTTGAACCAAGACTTGGATCCAACAATTCCAATAGGTTTCCTTGCTCTTGGAGAACATAGGCCTTCAAAGACGTGCAAAAATGTAATAATTAGAAATTTAACCAAAACATAAACATAGTGGAAACAAAAAGGAGAACAATTATTAAAAAAAGAAATCAGTAGAGAAATATTTATCCATTTATTTAATAAATAATGTTATCCTTATCTCTCATTTTATTATTTTATTCAATTTTGAAGATGAGCTTTTGTTTCCAGAGATATATTAGGCATATGCTTAGTCTTATAGTAATGGGATGAAGACTTAGATGAACATGGCAAAAATACTTTGAACATATTGAAGGTGACAAGTTATGTATAATGAACCCAAATTCTCTTGCACATTGCATCAGGTTATCATAAACACAGAAATACACAAAAAAACTTACCCAATCCAAAAGATATACAAACTCCTCCTTTGGCCTGTAATTTGTGTTGCTCTTTCCACTAACAATCTCTAAAGCTACAATTCCGAAGCTATATACATCTGCTTTATCAGTCAAGTAACCCCGCATAGCATATTCTGGAGCCATGTAACCACTATTAAGACATGTAGTACCCAAGAGTCAGTGATTTCCCAAAACAACGAAACAAAAGTATTCTAGAAATTTTTAAGTGACTATAATTCATATGGCAGACAAATTGTGGATAACATTGCAAGCCAATATTTTATGCTAATAATAAAATAACTATTAATTAAGTATTGAATTCAGGCTAATATATGAGGCATAGCACTAACATGGTTCCAGCTATCCGTGTGCTGATATGGGTATTTTCTTCTTCATCAAGCTTGGCTAAACCAAAGTCAGAGATCTTGGCATTGAGATCCTTGTCAAGCAAGACATTGGTTGCCTTAATGTCCCTGTGCACTATTTTCAACCTTGATTCCTCATGAAGATAAGCTAATCCCCTTGCTATCCCTAGACAGATATTCATTCTTGTGGGCCAGTCCAATTGCAACTTTTGTTCTTGATGACCTAACAAAAGTGCAGGGAGAAGGAAAAGAGATTTTTCAATTATATCTTAATTTTGAAAGAGGCACTTACACACACAACGGTATTAGTTGTTCATGAAACATTTACCAAAGAGTGCACGAGCAAGACTATTGTTCTCCATGTATTCATATATTAGCAGCAACTGGTTTCCTTCAATGCAACATCCATAAAGCTTCACAAGATTTGGATGCTGCAAAGCAGATATCATTCCAATTTCATTAACAAATTCACGATTCCCTTGCTTTGACTTGGAGGAGAGCTGCTTAACAGCAATCACTTCACCATCTGATAGCACACCCTGTCATTAAGCCATGGCTTCAATATCATGTTTTTATATACAAAATTATTGTGGGATAAGTGGCACACCCAAATTTTTTGAAACCTTATACCTTGTGTACTGGCCCAAATCCTCCTTCACCTATTTTATTTGTGGGGTCAAAGTTATTAGTGGCTGCTTTAATTTGTCTTAAGCTGAAATAACCTGTTTTCAGATCTAGAAGGTCTGCAAAAAAACGAAGACAGCGGCACATAAAGAAAAATATAGAGAAAGAGGAGGAAAAAAAAAAGTGAAAACAGCGGCACATAAAGAAAAATATAGAGAATCCAACAAAATTCCAGAAAAAAGGTATGTATTTGCCACAATAATGAACCCAAATCTGCATTTTCTTTATAAATTTGTCATCAACCTAGATCTTTACAGTAAATTTGATGTCTTAAAAAATTTATATGGATATATAAAAATCATGTTTGTTACCATATTATAGATTGTAGATGCTTATTCTTTTATTAACAAAAAGAAAATTATAAATAAAGCAACTGAATTTTATTTTGGACTTGAATCCTCTTACCTTTGTCTCTAGTATCTTCCCCACCAAGGAAACCCATCTTCCAAAGGGCAACCAGTATCACTATGACAAGCACACATGATGCAGCAACAATCCCAACAATAGCTCCAACAGACAGTCCTTTTGAAGGGATTTCAAAGTCTAAAACAAAGTAGAAATGCTTATAGAACATAACATAACTAGGTTGTTTAAAGAATGATGGAAACAAATAATAATAATGAGAAAAACTTACTTGGTGTTACTGTGATAGCAGATATAAGAGGTCCATATACACCTCTGTCCGGAATGGCAGTAGTTCCTTTCCCTGCCCAGTATAAGTGAATTTCCAAGGTGCTATCATCAACATCAACATCAAATTCTTTAGTGATGCCCTTTCCAACTCCACCAGCTTCTTCTATAATGTTAAAATCTTTCAAATATTTAAAACCCTGTGAAGTTGCAACATTGAAAATTTCTACCTTTAGTTCAGAACTTAGTCTTCTTCAAATACCATATACAAACTACGATAAAAATATAAGAATCAACCAAAACAATGTAACAAAATATTTTTCTTCAATACTCACTTGAATTGAGACATCAAATATACGCCTTCCAAGACTGCTAAAAGTCTTGTCATCAGAAAACATTATCTCTGCAAAATGGAGCTTCACTTTATAATTTCCCTTCAGCATACAAAGGCCATAGTAGTTAAGTGAAAGAGGGGCAAGGCGGGCACTTTGGTAATACTCTGGGCCACTAATATTCAAAGAAAATGTATTTTTTGCTATATAATCTGCATCAACATTTCCCAAATATACTCCGGTGCTACTATAAGCCCATTGTTCTTCATTTCTAAGAACAAAGTTTGAAATGCCATCTTGCTGTAGGTCGCCTACGAAGTTGTTTCCCTCAAACTCCACCTCAGGTCCTCCACAGTTTATAAACAATGAGGTATCTGCATAGACATCATCAAAATCTCATAAAAAGTATATCTAAAAGAAAGTATCACAGAACTTCATTTACAAAATTATTCATTCTGGTACAGGTAAACATGCTTGATCTTAACATATAAGCACTCACACTGGGGTTTTCCTGCACAAGGTAGGTTTTTCTTCAAGCAAAAAGTTCTATAAGATAAATATAGTTAGTTTCAAAAGATGATTCAATGGTGACAAATCAAGTAAAAAATAAGCAATGAACTTACGAATGCGGAGTGATTGCGGAAGAAGAATGGCTTAAAGCCAAATTCCTGTTTAGTATTGGTAAGTGGTTAGCATTGACATAGCTGAAATGCTTATATATTGCTAGGAAAATAGAACCTTACAGATCCAAGAGTTGGCAGCTAGTTGCGGAGGACTTTGTAAAATTGTTGTAAGATAAATCTCTGAAAGGAAACATTATTAGATTGAATTTTAATTTCTTCATAAATCAATGACTATTCGAGATGAATCACAAGGGAAAGAACTGAAAGGATTATCCATAAATATAGTATATGGAGTGATTCTGAGATAGGTAAATTTCTAGTAGTGGCTCTAAACTATGCAATTAAGAAAAATACAATCAAGAAGATATACTAACATCTTTATTTTGAAGTTTAGTATCCAGTCTTGAATTGGTCCGCTCAGAGAATTATTTGTCAGAAACCTGCATCCATGATTAATAGCAGTGTCATTCAGTATCACATAAATTTAAATCAATAAAAAGAAAAAGCAACAAATTTTGCAGAATATACATATCCTTTGTATAATCTTCTGGTCAGTAAATGAAATGTTCACTTACATGTAATCTAGCCTTTTCAATCCCTGAATTGAATTTGGGATTGAGCCAGTCAACATATTGAAGCTTAGGTCTCTGCAAGAAAAATAAGATGATTATAATGAATCAATGATGAAGTAGTGAGTCTTACATGCCATGAATTCATACAAGATACTCCAAATCCTATGAACAGAATTTCTGGGAAGGATGTAAAAAGAAGTGACAGAGTTAGTATACAAAAAATTAATTGAATTATGTAACACAAACATATTGTAATGAAAGTGAACCATTTGAAACAATTGGTATACAAAAGAACAAAGAAAACAAGGGACTGTCGCATCCAAAACAAACAACAGTATGTTTTGAGAACAATGTCTTCTGAATGGTTTATAACCATGATCATTTAAATGTCTTAATATGAAATCATCCTCAAATTTCTTTGCTACTAGCGTGAGCTCACTCTCATTTAAGTGACAGGAAAAAGAAAAGCATCTTGCATGTTCACACTTCTTTTCCACTCTATATTACAATTAAATAAATAGAGAATGGGAAGAAATAAGGTGGAGGGGGAAAAGTTAACAGGGAAATAGGAAATATGTTCAAGTTTCCCATGATACTAGAAAAAAAAACTACTCCCCGTTAAACCCGACACTAGCGAGAGTGAGGTGGAAGAAATCATTGTACGCAGCCTCTCCCTTGCATAATTACAAAGAAGTTGTTTTCTAGATTCGAACTCATGACCTTTCAATCATGAAGGAACAGTTTTACCACTGCTCCGGTTCGCCCCCTTCTAAGTTTCCAATGATACTATAGAGCATAAATGTTTTTATCGTCATTCTCCATTACTAAGTAAACAAAATCATCTGCTTTAACATGACTAAATATAAATAATCTTGAAACAACCTTTAAAACATGTTTAGCTATGTCATAATACAGTCAGAATTTGCAATTAAACTTTAATTAGCAGTCCATCTTCCTGCATTTAGAACTAGCATTAAACAAACAATTTCAAATTGGAGAGCACACCTACCATTAATGGACTGAGAAATGAGGAGAAAACCTTAAAATATTGGCAAAAAGAAAAGAAAAAGAAACTTGAGCTGACTATCCATTCGATGCAACTTACAAAGTAACTAAGTTTGCCATTTCACCAATGTAATCTGGAATGCCACCAGTGATTAAGCAATTTCTCAATTCCCTGAGTCATAGAAATATACCACTCCACTAAAATCTTAAATGAATAATATAGTTCTTTCTTCACAAAAAAAAAAAAAAAAAAAGCTGAAAATGATTCAACTCACAGTCTTTTCAAAATTTTCAAATCCTTAAGATCAGGAAATGTCATAGTTGGTCCATTCAAATCAGTTATTCTCCTGAAACAGAAATTCTTCATCAATGAAAAGGATAAATTCCACTACTGGAGATTGCATTCCACAACCATTGTACAATGTGAAAACAAAATGCAGCAATTCAGGAATATTTTAAAAAGGAGCAAGTACTCACAATTCAGTCAAATGTTTCAACTCAGATATGGTAGGAGGAATTGGGCCTTCCATAGATGTTCCTTGCATATCCCTATTAAAAACATAAAATTTGCTCAGAAAATATAAATGAAACTAAGCATCATATAAAATATAAAATTGGTTTTCCTCTACAAAATGAAAAAGGTCATGGATGGACCTAAATGTATACTCACAATCTTTCAAGTTTGGTCAAGTTGCCAATAAAGTTGGGTATCTGTCCGGATAAACTGCTTCCATCTATCCTACTGCAGAGAATGAAAAGAGTAATTTTAGAACATAAGAGAGATTTATATAAAGGGCCGACCCAGTTCAAATACCCACTTCGTGAGTGTCTGGGGAAGGGAATACTCTAGGCAGTCTTTCCCCTGCTTTTTGCAGAGAGACTGATTCGAACCCGAGACCTGACACACCACGGCAAACAAGCTTACCGCTGAGCCAAGCCGGCCCTTCTGGTATTGCAAAAAATTTATATATAACAAAAAAAAACATAAAAGAGCATTTGTAACAGTTAATATCACTTACAAATCAGTGAGATTCTTTAGATTGCTAAATGTTTCTGGTATTGTCCCTGTAAAATTATTTGCAGAAAGAAGTCTGCAGAATCATTTCAAATAATTAGAAAAAATTAGCCATAACCAGAAAAATCAAGATGAAATCATAGATAACCTACGTGCTACTAATTAAAATTGGTTCTGTAAATCAATTTAAAATAACTAGAAAGAAATATTCTTACAATCTCTTCAACTTGCTCAAATTTCCGAGATTGGGAGGAAGTGGTCCTCCAAGTAGATTACTTTCTAAGATCCTATAAACATGTATACCAAGATTATAAAGTGTCCAATTTCAATCATTTTTCAGTATAACATCAAATTATTTAACATCAAAACTTTCCCCAACACTTACAGCTCCTCCAAACTAGCAATATCACCAATTTCTGTAGGAATTGGACCACTTAATCGGTTTCCGAGAAGGGACCTAAACCACAGTAACATTGTACATTAATCATTTGAAATTCGAAAAATGTTGCAATTTGCAAATAATGGAAGTGAACATTTTGCTCTCAAAGAAAGCTTCTAAACAAATTGTTTGATATAAAATCATTTGTGAGTGTTCTCCTAATAAGTTTGTTAAAGATATATAAGTGAAGGCCCTTCTGACATGTCTCCCTTACATGAGAGCCCATTAGGTATGAGGGATGGATAATGCACATGCCCACCTATTTGTACTAAGAAATTTGACAAGAGAAAGTGGGGTGGTGATGGTGATGATCGAACTCGTGACCTTATAGCCGCCGAAGCTCTTATACCATATAAAAAACTATTTTAATTCAAAAGCTTAGGATGTTGAGTAAAGGCCTAATTTATACTATTATCTAACAAAATTAAACTTCTAAAAGAATTTGTACTTAACCATCAACAATACTGAAGTGCATGTCCGTTCCATAGAGCGAAACAAAGATAATAATGACTTACAAGATGACAAGCGAGTTGTGAGAAAAACTCGTTGGAATTGAGCCACTGAGATAGTTGCGAGTAAGGTCACTGCACACAATATGGAAGTTCCAGTTAATCTTTAGTAGATTCCGATGCATTTTGTAAAATTAATAAATTTTCGCTTTCACCTTAAAAAAAAAAACAGGTCTAAAATTTATATGAATGTTAAAATAAATGCCATAATTATACAACACTGCTACACATGATATAGTAAGAGAATATTTAAGAAAAGAATTTAAACTCAGAGGAAGCCATATGTACAATTGATTACAGTTGTCACTAGAAAAGTTATTTACCCAATCATAGTCAATGTTTTCAACTGTTATCTATCTAGTTATAATCAACATTTTTTTTTATGACGATCACAATTTTTATAAACACAAGTAGAAAAAACATGAAAGGTCACGAAGTATACAATCACTTACAGTACTTTTAGTTGAGTGAGATTTCCAAATTCTCTAGGCACAACTCCAGATATATTTTGACCCTTGAGAAAGCTATCATAGCCAAACTATGGTATTAGTGTCTCATAGAAATAAATAAATAAATAAAATTACAAAAATTATCATTAGATGAATTCAGTTAATATAAGATAAAAGATGTGAATTGGGACATGTTCAGCTATAACTAATAGTTTTACTCTAAAAAAAATTTGCACTACAAAATTAAACACTTCTTTTCGTCACTTTCTCTTTTTTTTTACAGCTATTTGAATTTAACAAAATATTCTTGGTCAAAAAAAAAAAAAAAAAAATGCATAGGAAAAAAGACGTACATGTTGTTAACGTGGCAAATGGTGCTTCTTTCGAAAGTGCAATCACATGTGACATTTCTGACAATGTCATCATCTATATTGATTTTGCCATTAAATCCCCCATCCTCTATGCAGGAACGTTCAGTGACTTTCCAATTCACGTTCTTTAGTTTATCCGAAATTGTCTGGAGAGCTTTCACTGCAACTCAAACACAAATCAACCACTTTAGCTGCTTATTTTTCGTCTTTTAATTCATTAATTTTTAAGGATCATAAACTGCAATTCATCTACTTCCACAATCACAATCAATTCTCTCAAATATGCATTTATTAAGTATCAATAGAGATCAATAGTTTCATTGGGTCTCTCTGAGTAACAATGTTTTTTTACACTAACGTGTGTTTGGTTGGGAGCTTTTCAGCGGATATCTATCTTTCTCAAGTATGATTTTTAGAAACACCATGTTTGTTTCAACGTTTTTCACCAAAAATTCATCTATCCAATTTGTCTTAATTTATGAGAAACATAGAATCGGCACTGTTTAGAAACCCAATTTGAAGGTGAAATTTTTCGAAAAACCGGTTATCTAGCTTTTAATGCACTGTTGATTTCATAAAGTTACATAATTTTTCGAGTAAAGTTTTTCTCCACCAAACAACTTTTTTTTACATTTTTCTACCTATCTCACTTTATCTATCTTTCCAATCATTTCTTTATCTTTCCAATCATTTCTCTATCTATCTCATTTCTCTACTATTCTAAAAAAATTTCCTGAACGAAACGCCCTCCTAATGGTAGAGTGTTATTACAACATTAAAAGAATTTGACCACAAATATAATTACTTTCATAGCAATAATTAAATATATAGTTGTATAATTAATAACATAAAAATTATTTTACACTCATAACAAATCAAAAGCTAAATTCTTTATTTACCCATTTTGTGTGGGGATCCTTAATCAAATTCTCAATCGTAAACATGAACTTTGTCACTTTTGGTAAAATCTTGATATTGAAAAGTCATATCTCAACGATCTCACGCTCATAATTGCAACTCTGGTGGTAAACAGCCTGAATAAATGAACATGACATGCCTTTGCAATTTTATTTAATAAAACTCAAACTTTTCTATAGTTTAAAATTTATAATAATTGTGTCTATATAATTTTTTTGAAAATATAATTAGGTCTCTAACTCTCCTCTACCGTTGAAAGCTATAAAGACCAAACAAAAAAAATTAAATTATAAGAATTGAATTATAGATTTTAGATAAATATATTTATCTTTTTTCTTTTCAAAAAATACAGAACTTACAGAATTTTTTTTTTTTTTTTTTTGGGTAAGACCAAATCATACATGGTGGCAATATAATATAAGAAGTTGGACTTCTCGTGCAAGGATGATGTATGGGTCTCTCCCCATGTCACAAAAAGACAGGATCATCGCTACCGTCCACATATAAAGCGGGAGAGATCGCAAGGTTTAGGGTATGTTTGATTGTGTTTTGATTTTTTTGTTCTTAAAATTGTTTTGTAGAATAATTATGGAAACAGTTGTTTTCTATGTTTTTTTTATTTTGAAAGTTAAAAACCAAAACAGAAAACAAAAACAACTCAGACATGTTCTCTAAATTTGATTCTAAAAGCAAAAAAACAATTACAGTTTTTAAATTTTTTTTTACAAAACAGGCCTTACCAAACTAGTTTTTTTGTTCTAAAAACTAAAAAACTGTTTTTAAAAACAGTATTCAAACAGAGCCTTAGTTTTTGTTTTCACGTTCTCTCTTTGAAATGCATGTCAAATTACACATGAATTAAAGACTGAGAGATATTTTTATCGTGTTACATAAAAAAGCTTATCTCATATTATATATTTATTGAAATTCGAATCAATATTTTTTTCCTTTTTAATTATAGAATCCACCTAATTATGTTTTTACATAAACTAATATCATCTCATATAACATTATAAAAACATTGCCCATTAAACAACCAGTAATATAATTTACTATAGGCATATAGCATATGGTCAAAAAGCAAAACTCAATTATGCTACCAAATATAGGCATAAATAATGCCCCTAAGATATAGCATGGGTCAGCTCAATATATATAGCATAGGTAATGAGTTAGAACTTAGAAGCAACATCGAGTCTCAGTCTTACTCATGAATACTTTTTTCGTACATAATCTTTACCATATCTTATATATTAATTAAAAATTTCTTGATAAAATCTAGCTACTAATTATAATTTATGTGCACACAAACAAACTTCAATGCAAAAAAAATTTGACAGGTTATATTTACAATTTTTTTTATAAATTACACTGTCTTTTCTTGAAAGAACATTAATCATACTATCTTTTTCTAGAAAAACATAATACAATTTGTATAAATTTATAAAAAAAAAATTGTAAACGGATCGTTCTAAAAAAAATATTGTAATACTAAACAAAATATGCAAATTATAGACTTCTAAAATTAATTTATAATTTTATATTACTAGCTCTTTATTCCAATCTGGGTACGAATGCAGAGAATGTAGCAAGTGGAAGCAAAGCCATTATCCGCTTCTGCCATTTATTGGTGGCATGTTAGTTGAACCGTCCATCACATATTAAATGTGGCGTTCTCAACTTCCAACTCAAATGATAAAAGTGGTAAAATGAAAACCAATTTACCCTTGAATAAAACTGCTGCTAACCCGAAAGGGCAAAATCCCAGGAAAGGGACAATATGTATTCTCTGTTTTTATTGGGCTTCTTTGTTCTATCATTTATTAAAAATAAAATAAAATAATACGGACTATAATGTCTCATTACATGATAAATCAATCTCTTATTGCATTTTTTATTTTATGACTCGCACACAGATCAATACAGAAAACTCTTATCCAAAATGCCACTAATTCATCATCAGTTAAAAAAAATCTTTTCAGATTACAAATAAATAAATAAATCTTTTCCATGGTCTATAATCATAAAATATATTGTGAATATTTCAATCATGATCATAACTTATCCAAGTTTTCACAAATATATTATGGTATTATATCAGGTGATGATCCAAGCCTTGGGTTGATTGACTATAATAAACACTGGTCTTATCCGAAAATAAACAATTACATAAACACAAGTAGTGATCCTTCACCCTTGCATATGTTTCCAATTTCCAAAAAAGGACATCTCACATGGGATGGGAATCAACAATAATCATTTGATCATTTTTATTGGAACACCAAAACTCACCAAAGGGACGATTAAAGCAAAGCCCAAGTGTAAAATGATCCTCGAAAATAAAAAAATAAATAAAAAAAAAGGAAATGCAGAAAGGATTCGGTGATATATGCTAAAGAATCCACCATTACTAGCATAACAAAATAGAATTATTGATTTTGAAGATGTTAGATGTATAACTTCGAAAAAGAATAAAAAAAATTTCATAAACTAAATTCTAGAAATGAAAACAAAGTCAACAACAGCTTCTGTTTAATCCAAAGACAACAAGTGACAATAATGCAAAGCATTCGATGTATCAGATTATTTTAAATATATGTTTTTCTAAATTTTAATGTTCATACATTGTAGAATTGAGAACGGTTAAAGGGGTGGGTTAAAGCCATAAAGGCAGTTTCTTTTTTGCTGTGTTAGGAATAGCAAAATCAAACAAAGCAATTATTAACAAAACAAAATTCACAACACAATGAAGCCTGCAAGCGTACCTTCACCTTGCGGTATGAGTTGAGCATTGGATCCAAACTTTTCCAAACAATTCAAAGCCAGAAACCCAAAGATAAGAACATAGACAAGTTTAGAACCTGATATCATAAACCACATTTTGCCCCGTCGACTCAGAGTTTCCCCTTCGTTGGTTTTGAAACAGAACCGTCGTGAGTGTAATAAAAACAAGAAGCAGAAAAACAGACAAAGAACAAACAAAAGAAAACAAAACAAGAGTTAGTACTTGGTTTTAGGATTTTTCTCCTTGGTTGTATCAATTTATTTGAGGGAAAGAGAAGGGGAAGCTTTTAAAAAGTGGGATTTTTTTACCATCACAAAGAATGAAATAAGAGAACTGGAGTGAGAAAAATAGAGCGAAAGTGGCAACTGTTGAAGAAAAGTTTTATAGATAAAGGAAAATGCATTTATCACTTACACAATAAATGAATAATTGTTATGTTAAAAAAAAAATTTATTAAATAATATGTCTTCTCATTTTTTTAATAGTACATAATTTATTTTTTTCTTAACATAATAACTATTTATTTGTCACGTGCATTTCTGATTAAATAATGGTTTTCAACTATGGTGACACAACATAGTCAACACACGAAACAGTCAACTCACGGCATTGGTTGTACTTAATTTTTTGTCATGATTTCTCGTCTGTCTGCCAAAGCAACAGCCACCGGTTCCTCTACTATTTTCATTTTTCCCTGCGCTTGTAAAAACATATTTAATTTGAGTAGCAATTATTTAAGAGAGAGGTTATATTTATTATTATTTTTTATCATGATATCTTAATTATTAGTTTTTGTCAATTTAATAATTATAATTGTGACACCCTCCCCTGTACGCGTTCAAAGGAGTTGTCTGCTAAGCGGATTAGAGTCAAAATGTTAACGAGTAAAAATTCATGTTCAGTAAAAACTTTTTCATATTACCAATTATAAACGCTTGCCTAGAAAACTGACTTTGAAGAAGTATAAACAGCAAATATATTTTTAAAAGGCTTTCGCTGTGCAACTTTGATTTTCCTGAAAACAGCTTGTCATGCAAAAATAATGTAAATTCGAAATCAACAGTTTAAAAAAAAATATTCTTTGATATATAGAAACTAGACATCTGAGGCTTCGCGTCCATATAAATTATACGCGAATAGGAGGTGAATAGCCCCACGAAACAGAACTCGTAAAATACTCGAAATTCATTGTATTTTTCCAAAAACCTCCTGACTTGTAAAAATCATAATAAATCGGGATTTCAGAATTTCATCTTAAAGTTTATATAATCTGAAAGTAAACAACTGAGGCTTTACATCCATATAAAATATACCTCAATCGGAGGTCTGTAGCCCCAGAACGACAACTCGCAAAGTGCTCGCAAAAACAGTTCAAAATTCCAAATAGATTTATTCATGTGATAATGTCATCAAACACTTCCTCAATTGCTTCTAAGTCCTCCTGCAATTTATAATAATTGAGCCCCCCAAGGGGTGAGAAAAATCTCAGTAGTGTGATAGCAAAACCAATAATGCAACAGTATTGAACTAGGCACAGAATTCCAAAACAGTCGCATCAACATTTAAAATTCCGTACAACTGTTAATCATCATCTTATTGCGCATATAACGCCATGGTCGGCTATATTCATAATAGTCATAATAGTGCGTATATAACGCCATTTCCTTGCTAGTGCGTATATAACGCCATCATTACGTTCATAGCACCGTCGTGCGCGTACTAACATACACGGTGGATATTCCATAATGGCTCCCATCAAAGGTGAATTCCAACTGTGGCCTATGCGGACTGAAGTCAAGTGTCCCATACCCTGGTACCGGAGGGATGCCTATATAATGCGTGCTCAAACATATGCATATTTATATAAATATTCTAGTCCATGAGCAGCATGAAATTCGTGCATGTATGCCATGATATGCTTCACACACAAACAAGAAACAAATGAATTATGAGGTGTATATGCATGATTAGATCATCATCATAATAGCATATCTTTCATGTACTTTCCGTACTAAGCTGCCACATAACAATTACTTCTCATACATGATTTTCCATCTTGTCACATTCATAGGCAGCATGCATATAGCATATAACAACACATTAATCCAAGGCACGTATGAGCAACAATTCACAATTCTATACGCTAGCTAATAGTCACATTAGGTAATACCACCAAACACTTACCTTGCGTCCAAACAATAATCAACAATACCAAAAGTCAGCCCACTCAATAAGAGTTACGTGTACCTAATTACATGCGGAACAAGTCAGAATTTGTTTCATTTTATTCCTATAATTTATCCACATTTCTCACGCTGCTAGTTCTTATTCTGAAATCGGTTTTTCACAGCTTCTACACTATATTAATTTCTGACTTGAGGTAGTACACCAGTTTGTTAACAGCGAAACAATACAAGTTTCCTCATGCATTACCATTCGGTTTTCAAGTTCTAAACACATTTTCTGTCATAGAGTTAATTCACCAGTTGTCCTTAATTGACAAAAATCTAAGTTACTTACACATGCATGCAAATTCGATTTTCAACACTATAAAAAGGCTAATGATGTTTATTCATATTTTCAACGTTACATGGCCTTTGGTGCGCGCTAAAGAGAGGCTCAACACATGCTGTCCACTTACCCATGATTCTGCAAAGTTTGATGCACCACATTTTCTAACAAGAGGGGCTGTATTCCAAGTTAAAGGAACTATTTGTTATTGTGTAACCATAAGACTCAGTTGATTCCAACAGGGAAGAATTAATTGGCAGAATTAATAGAATAAAACAACACAAAGTTACTCCTTAACATACTTGCACGCTCAGAACGGCTGGAAACTAGGAGCACACATTTTGCCTATTCACCAACTATTTCCTACAAAGCTCAAGTGGAATTAAACAAGGTCTAAAGCTGGTGGTTAAGCTTACAGCATTAAATTATTACTAAAGGCATGATGACAAGTCCTCCTATCCTTAGTTTTCTTCATAAGGCCACTAGTCATGGATGTTACAATGGGTCATAGTGCTTATTGTTAGGTTATTATAAAACAGAATCTAATTCACTTCAAGACATGAACATCTCAGTCCAAAACAGAACCACGAGGATGACTAACCAAAAATCAATATTCCCTTTAAAAAGACCTACCTCCTTAACTTAACAAGAGCTAATAAAACTATTTGTATGCTGTCCACATGACTAAAATATACCTGCAAGGCTGTACCCTTATCCTTCTAACAAAGTGCAGTCCAACAATTTAAGTGACTATATTCAAGTTCACAAGAATTCAGATTTGGTTCATACTCATCAACTCCTAGGGCGATTCAAGGGCAGAATTAGGACAAGGGAATTTTCCAAAAATAAAATATCCTCTTAGTTAAACATGGGAGTGCCGAACAATTTAAGGGGAAACCAAAGGTTTAATATATGGTTTTACTTTACTTGAAGACACTCAGTTCTTTGATAGTCCAAGGCAGAAAATAGAGAATTAAATAACAAAACATGATTCTCTCAATATACATGCAGCAGCCGATTGGAACAGTAAGAAAAATGACAAAAATACATCTCCCTAGGTACAAGGCAGACCGAACAGATAGGGAAGCAAGAGAGAACTCTTAAAACTTAGATTTACCTCCATGAATGTCTCAAAGCTTAGCGCTCCAAGTAGGGACAGCAGCCTTCCTAGCCCATTCTTCAAGGATTCGAACTCATAGCGGCATGCAATGGGAGGCCGACTCATACCAGACAGAATCATGCTCCAGCAAGAAAGGGAAACTTAATCAGAATTTGGTTAGGTATGGACGAACAAGGAAGCAAAGAAATTTACCTCCATGACTACATCAAGTTAGCGCTTCACACAGGGAAGTAACCCCCCCTTGTTCCACTCTTCAATAATCAGATTTATGGCTCCTTGGGGATGTCTACGGCTGGCCAAGGCAGGGAAGAAAAGGAAGTATCCTTGTGCTCCAAACAGAATGCAAGGTTGACAGCACTAATCTAAGGCCGAATTGGTTGCATGCAAGGGAAGTAGGCACTGGTTGGGATAAATTTTAAATGTCCGTTTTTTAGCAGTTTTGTTTTTTAGTTTCTTGGGTCAGTTTAGAATATTAATGAGTCAGTTATGTCAGTTATAAAGTAAAGTAATGAGGGTGTTATGTGTGGAGTTATGTTGGTCAGTTTTATAGCTTATAAATAGCCTTTGATAGTTTGTATGAAATGTAGATCAAGAGATCAAATCAAGAGAAAAAGAAAAAGAGCAAGAAAGCAAGAATAGAAAAGAAAAGTTTTATTTGTAGATACTTCTGTGTGGTTGTCTCTTGCATCTCTGTGGATATTCAATTCTACAAATTGGTATCAGAGCTATGGAGAAAAAGAGCGAGTTGGAGGTGCCACTCTTCCATGGAGATAAAGATGAAGCATTAGATTGGCTTCTCTGTTTGAAGGAACATTTTCAGAAAGAAAAAAACTGGACGGAGGACAAATGGCACGTAGCCATAAGAAGACTCAGAGGAAGCGCAATCAAATGGTTCCGTACATGGAACTGCTGCGACTTTAATAATATATGGAAGGATTTTCTAATGGCCTTCATAACAAAATACTTGCCTGAACGTTTTGATCTGATTAATGAAGAAGATGAAATCTTCAATGATGATGATGAAGATGAGGAGAATGATGCGGATGAAGAAGAGACCGAGATGGCGGAATCTGAGGTTGCCAACGGCAACGTATCCGCGGAGAAGATCGACGCGTTGGAGCGTGAGAGAGATGAATCAAAGAAAAAGACGATGACTGCGGCTATGGGAGCCGTGATCGAAGACGCTGAGAGCGACGAGTCAATTCAGAAGACGGATAGAGAGGATAAGGAAGAAGACGAGATGTCGAAGGAGCTTGAGAAGCCAGCAAAGGAACGAGAAGCGTGGAATCCGAGATGCTTGATGGAGACCGGCTTGGAGGAGACTGCGAATCTGAGTCTCATGTTGATAACCGGGATGGGGGAGATCCCGGCTAAATCACCGAGTTTATGTTTTGGAAGAGACTTCGACCCCGGCGTGACAAGGTCGACGTCGGCGACCGGCATAGGTCGCTGGTCCGAGATGCC